GTCCCCTGGGGCACCCAGACCCCCCCACCCCATCCCACGACCTCCCCCCTCCCCCGACCCACTCACTTGGGGAGTGTGTCGCCGGCTCCTTGCTATGGGACCATGGAGGCTCTTTGGTGGGGGACTTCAGCGCTGCCGGAGGCAGTGACAGAGGGAAGGGAGGAAAAAAGGTTGTCAAGGGACATCGCCATGCACCCCCTGCCCCACGTCCCTGTCCCAGAGGTGGGATTTCATCCCCACGGTGCCGGCACCCACGGCAGCACCTCCTTCCTGAAGGCTGCTGGGTCTGGGGGGGGCTGCTGGGGTCCAGGGGGGGACCCGCTCTCACGGGGGGAGTGGGGTTACCTCGACACAGGGTGCTGGTGTTGTAAAGCACACAGGTCTCCCGCGCTGCCACTCCTCTCTGCATGCAGCTCCCCATCTCTGCGGGAAGAGGGAGCGGGGTTTTCCCAAGGGATCCCTGGCAAACCAGCCCATGGAGGCACCCAGTCCAACTGCTGGCATTTGGGCCCAGGGCTGCCCTGGGCACCTGAGGGTTTGGGATGGTGAGGACTCATTCCCAGGGGTGGGCGTCCATCCGAGGGGCTGTGAGTTGGGGCTCGCATCTGCACCCCGGTGGGGAAGAGCCCCAAACAAAGGCTTTATAAACTGGGAGCAGCACACACCAAAATCCTGCACCCCTGCCTGCTGGGCTGGCACGGATCCCCTGGCTCCCCCTGGGATGGGTCGGGTGAGATGGACCTTGACCATGGAAAGCAACTGGGACCAGGCACCCAAGGGTGCTGAGCTGCCAGCACCATCCTGGCATGGCCCCAGCCCAGCAGCAGGGGCTGCAGAAGGCTGGTGGCAGGTAGGAGCCCCTCTCTGTACCCCCACACAGCTGAGCCCCCCTCACCTGGCTCCTCGGGGGTCCCACAGCCCATCCAGATGCAGCCGGTGGCGTTGTGCGAGGGGGTGCTGGCCGTGCATGTCTCGCAGGACCTCAGCTCGCTGCACTCTCCTGCCAAAGCCAGGGGAAAGGGGTGAAGTCCAGGCCAGCATCCGTCCCCAAATCAGCTGGGGTGGGGGCTGGACCCTCTGCTCCACGGAGGAGGATTTCTCACCACGCAGCAGGAGGGATGAAGGCACCTCTCGCAGCACCAAAACCATTAACTGACCCATCCTGGCCGGCTGCAGGTATCTTTGTAGCATCACGAGCTCTCCAGAGAGGGGACATCCTGCACCCCACAGTTCCCAGCACCCACAGCCACCCAGGACACACGGACCTCACCCCATCACCTGCAGCCACAGCAAGCCCACCCCAGCCTGGGTTCTTCTGGTGGAGGTTTAAAAGAGATGAGGCAGCAGCACCAGCCCAGCTGCTCCCAGTAGCCTGGCTGGGGTTACCCGAGCAGCGTTACCCCTCTGCCAACCCCCCCAGACCACCCCACAGGACCCCCCACTCCCCATTGCCCCAGCAATGGTGGTGAGTCACTTGGGTGTTTGCGGAGCTGCTCTGCCACGAGCTCTTCCCCCCCCCACACACACACACTCATCATTAATTTACAGCGATGACTGTCGACGAGGGAGGCTGCAACGAGGAGCCACGGCCAGGCCCTGCCTGCACCTCGCTGCGTCCCAACGCCCACGTTTGCACCATCCCAGGAAAGAGCTGGAAGCCATTCCATTCCCACCCTGGACACGTTTCCAGGTTCTCAGGGGACAAACACCCCCCCCCCCCCCCCCCCGAGCTTGCAGAAGGGTGCTGGGGGCTGGTAACCCCCTGCACTGGCTTCCCAGGGGTCTCAGCCACGCAGGGACCGACCCAGCCTCACGCTTGGCTTTGCCACGTTGCCTGCATGCCATCCCTGCCAGCAGCGCTTTGCACAGCCAAAACCACACCACCTCCCTTTGGGGTGGGCAGCTCCAGCCCCCCCCCAACTTTTAGGGTCCTCCTGGTCTCCTGGGCCATGCCTGGCTGAATCCAGTGGCCCTTTCCTTCCCCCAGTGCCCCCCAGAGCAAAAGCAAAGGGGGCAACTGGTGGTGTAAGGCAAGATGTGGGATGCTGCCGACCCATTGCCATGGCTACGGCGTGGTGGGCATGCCGCCGGGCCCCCCCTCCAGCATTTAGAGACCTGCTGGGAACCAATGGGAAAGTAGGACTTTGTTCGCAAGGGTTTCAAGGCAGGTTTATAATTTAAGTTATTTTTATCGCGGCAGGCACAGGAACAGACGTTTGAGCCCATCGTTGTCAACTCCCGCTCCTTCCGTCAGGTGTGGGGAGGGAGAGGGAAATAAAGGGGGGCAGTGGGGCCTGCTGAGGTCAGCCCCATCCCGATGGGTGCTCTGGGAACACACGTGGGTCCCAGTGGGACAAGTCAGGGTGGAAATGTCTCCCATGAGCAGCGGGGGGATGGGAGAAGGGGAGAAAAAGCAAGCCTGGGGTTTGCATAATTCATGCCCGGAGTTGCAGGCACCCCGGGCAGGAGGATGACGGCTCCGCTCCCCCACCACAGAAACTGCCACGAACCATGAGATCCCCCCCGCTTTTTGGAAAGGGGGCCAGACCCTGCACCCCACTTGTCCCACAGCAGCGCAGGGCACCCCTCCAGGCCGTGGGGGTCCCACCCCCCCCCCAGCTGGCACCAGGAGCAGGGACCCCTCTCCCCCCCAAACCGGGGCCAGCCGAGGAAACGGGGTTCTCCCAGCCCCATCACAAGCGAAGGGACCACCCCCGCCCCCAAAATGGAACCCCTCCCAAAAAGTTCAGCTGCCCCAAAGCTGCAAACTCCCCCCACCCCCCCCTCGCTCCCCGGCCGTACCTGCGCGGGTGGGTGCGGGTCCCTGCGCGCAGAGGAGCGCGCAGAGCAGCGCGCAGCGCAACGCCCCGGCGTACGGCGGGGCCATGGCCCCGGCCCGGTTGTGCTGGGCTTAGCCAGGCTCAGCTCTCAACCCGGCTCGGTTCGACCCGGTCCCAGCGGGACGTGTCGGCTGCGAAGCCGAGGAGCTCCCGGGAGAGCGGAGCGGAGCCCCGGGCACATGCGCGCCCGCGGGAGGCGGCCCCGGTGGCGGAGGGGGGGG